GGTGACAACATGAGTAGCTTTTACATATTTGATAACTTCTTTAGCTCTTCTGTAAATCCTTTGAAGGGTGTCCTGTTTCATGAAGTCACTAAGAAGTAAGTTTAGTTCATGAGATGCACATCCTATTGCAGTAATATGTGGATACTTGTCCATTGTGATTTCCAATGCAGCTTTCCTATTACTTGCATTGTCAGTCAGCAAAGCAAATACTTTACCACTCTCAATTTTCTCTAAAACTGCACATATTTCACTGCTGATATACTCTGCAGTATGTCTGTTCTCTCCAGTTTCAATGCTTCTATAAAAGACTAGTTGAGGTGTTGTTATCACAAAGTTGACGATTCCTTCTCCCTGAACATTTGTCCATCCATCTGTAAGTATTGCGTGTCAAGACCCCGCAGCCACCCCCTTGTTGGAAATAACTCACACAAGGACACGGATATTAGGTTTATGTTATTGGGCAAATTTTGGCCACAACTTTATTGAAATTACAGAATGTGAGCGGTATTGGCTTAGGCATTGATTGGACCTGACTATTTCTGACTCCTGCCCATTGTGCAGGGTAAGCCACCGTTAGGGGGAGCCCTGTCGATGCGGACCAACTTAAGCTCCCCCTGGTGTTCCCGTCGGGGTCGTGTCAAGGCCTTAGCCCCCCCAGCCGGGCTTCAGACTAGAACAACACCCCCGGATTCCTTTAACGGAATACCCTTAAGCATGGAGGGGCAGGTGATGGCCACCCCTCCCCTCTCCCACACAAGGTCAAACAATGCCTAACTGCAACCCTAACAAAGTTGTGACGATTGCTACGAGGTAGGCGAAAACCAAGTGGCCAGTGCCAATTTGCCAAGAGGAAAAATTCCTACCAGGCCCCTCAGACAACCAAGGCGACCAACCGAAGTCCATAGCAAGGCCATTGCCTAACCTGCAAAATAGGGAGGGAGGGTGGGTGATTGAGGAAGCGAGCCAAAGAGGAAGTCCTTTGGTTCGCTCCTCCGTTTAAACGGCCCCGGCCATGCCCCCCCAACTAGCGGGTTGGCTGACCGGGCTCTGACGTGGCCAGGATCCCCCAGGCAACGGGGGACAAGGTCCCCCGCCCCCGGTGGGGATTAGGTGGCCATGCGGTCCACCGCAACTCCTCCCCACTGGGAAGTGGAGTGGATTTGCAAGACATAGTGCTTCATTGATTTTTCCTTGTACAGATTCCATCACATGCTCATATTCTGACTCCAGAAGAGGCTTACTCAGTGAATGTCTGCTTGGCAAATGATATGATGGTCATAATAATTTAAAAGCTTCCTGCCAATGTGCATTTTCAGTTTTTGACAATGTTGATCCAGAAGCATATATTGCTCTTACAAGTGCATGATCACTTTACTCCTGATTTTCAAGTGTCATTTTATCTATAAATGAAGGTATGGTGCAATTGTTTGAGGCAGTGGTTTGCAACACTTCTTTACTTGAAGATGCTGTTGGTGAAGAAACACTTTGTAATGATCCAGAAGCAGCAGAAATCGTGTTTCTGGAATTAGAACTCTGGAAGGAAAAGCTACTTGCATTTTCATTTGGGTCCTCTTCATTTAATTCCATAAAGTATTTTTTAATGTGCACCTCTGGCACGCAAGAATGTGTTTTGTCATCCTTGCAACATTTGGAAAAGAATATTTATTCTCACAATATTTGCAAATTGCAGCTTTGCTCTCAGCAGAAATCGCACTGTGGAAATGTTTCCAAACTCTAGGTGTTGGTTTTACGATTTTACTGAGAGGAGGAAAAGAAAAATCAATTTACTGACCAGACTACAGGTAAACATTATGCTGTGATGGTGGAGAATATTAATAGGAATCATTTAAGGGTTACAAAAGAGAAACTAATATGTCAGACAGATTTACCCTCTTACCTGTCAGTTAAAGCCTGAGAGGAGGACAGAAACTATCACCTCTTGTGTACCAACAATTACTCAACTGTAGGAGGTCCGAGGTACACAAGTAAACTGAACTGGAGGTTTTTCCCTGCAGTGCCTCCTAGTGGCGCAAATGCATATTTCTCCTGTTTGAGAATTGCATTGAGATATAGAGTGTTACAGTAATACCTCAGGTTAAGTACTTAATTCGTTCCAGAGGTCCATTCTTAATCTGAAATTGTTCTTAACCTGAAGCACCACTTTAGCTAATGGGGCCTCCGACTGCCACCGCCCCGCCGGAGCATGATTTCTGTTCTCATCCTGAAGCAAAGTTCTTAACCCAAGGTACTATTTCTGGGTTAGCGGAGTCTGTAACCTGAAGCGTATGTAACCCGAGGTACCACTGTACTTGAATTCTATTCCAGGATTTGCTTGGAACAAAAAAAATTAAAACGTTATTTAATCAAACTACAATTATCAAAATAAATATAATCACCAATGTTTATTCATTCCTCCCATGTCCAGAAAGAAATTTATTTCATACCCTGCCCACCCATTTGTATTGCATTTTCCTGTACATTGAAATGAAATGGCAACATACTTTACATTTTCAAAGTAAATTACATATGTTACATGAATTTACCCCAGTGGATAGCCAGATGAAGAATTTAGTTTTGGTGGAAGACAAAGTTTAGCAGAACAGAACCAGCACTTCAAGTGACAATTACAGGGAGGAATGGAAAACAATGCCTTTTTAATTCCTAGTCTAATGAAGAGCACTTCAAACATGAAGTAAATAGCTGATATCTTCAAGACAGACAAATGGAGAGGTTTGAGTTGTGAAATATCAGGCTTCCAAAAAGAACTTCTGGAAAATAATATTAAAACTCTGTCAAAAATGTATAACTTGCTCCTAGAATGGCATACATGACATTGTATTTTAGAAGACATCTGAAGGCATTCCTGTTTAGGGAAGCATTTATCCAAAATGTATAGAACAAGCTCCAATATTTGTAGGAAATGTAAAGAAAAGGAGGGTACCTTTTATTATATGTGGTGGTCATGCAAGATAACAAAGTCTTTTTGGGAATTGATATACATTGAATGGGGTGGTGGTGGTTTAAATTAACGTTTGTTAAAAAACCAGAAGCATTTCTATCATGAATTACAGGTTCCAATATCCTAAAAGACCAGGAATGTATGCAACAGCAGCAAGGATGCTACTAGCACAAAGATGGAGAGAACCAACTGTTCTGACCAAGTGCACCTAGTGTAAAATACAGTTGCTGGACAGCTGACTAGGGCAGAATTCAACAATAATGTTATGGTGTTGCTGAAAGAATTGCAACGGCTGCTAATGAGTTCAATGTATGGCTATGCATAGCCATATATATTTTGGAACCACAATCCCAATTGATTGTTTTTCACCTTCTGTATCCTACTGATCACTGCATTCTGCAGGAGATAACATTCTGCAAATACTATCTCATCAAGTGATGCATTCTGTACTTTAGAATTTCCTTCAGCTTGGCAGAAAGCAAACGTAGCTTGCTGGTCCCCATCTAGCCCACGTCCAAGTCAACCAGGGGTTCAATAGCTTTTTATTATTTAGACGTTACTTAGAAATGCAGCTAGGTATCATCAGAGTTCTTATGACACATTAACCCAAATCTCCAAACGACCACTTTTTATAGATGCTAACTAGCACTGGAGACACATGGAAAATGGAAAACTGCAGCACCCCAAACTAAACTTCCAGGACATTCATTTGGAGAAAACATATTAATTAAACATTCCACCAGGAAGGGGGCAGGGGAAGGAAACATTATATCTCCTGCTCCAAACCAAATCATGATATAAGACAAGTTCCTGTGTTTAGGTTCTTATGTGTATTACAAGTAATTCATTCCTTGTACCTGATACCCCCAATTATCTGTGGGAATCCCTTTATGACTGAGTTGATGGTCTTATTATCTTATAACCTTATGGCTTCCATATCCTACTTTAGCAACTTGAAGATCAGGAAATCAAACTGTTGGAATTAATGGCCTGTTTCCTGATATAGATATAAGGTTATATTCCTTTGTACTTAAGGAAGCATCCATGGCAGAAGCTCATTTAAACCAGGCAATCAAAACTCAGAATGCTGAACTAGGAATATGGGAATTAAAGGCTGAACTAGGAATATGGGAATCAAAACTCCAAACTTTAATGTGATGATATTGAAAGGGGAGAGCTGTATTTCTCATTCAACGTTTGACATGAGATAGATAGATGTTTCCCTTAGAGAGGGCAGAGGGAAGTCAAATGCAGGGCAATCAAGTGGAGCTCAACAAGCTCCCATTCACTCATTCCACAAAGGCATAAAGAAACAATTTTCATGTCTCTTTTGTTACCCTCTACCATTTTCAATATGATAAATTTCTGTTCTTTGCAGCAGTACAACTATTTCCTCTTCCTTTGAGCAAGGATTCCTCTAGTATGACTTGTCTTGTGAATCTGTAATTTGGGACTAGAATGTTTTGTCAGATCAAAACCAGGTCTCAATAAACCAAAGGGAGCAAAGAAATGGAGGGAATCATCTCTATGTAATCTGTAGCTTGACTCCATATAGCAAATGATCAGAATACATTACTCTTGCCAGGCACTGCTTCTCTGTTGACCTGGTATGGAGCTCAGCTTTCCTCTGATTCCTCCATTCTTTTTCCTTTTCATCATTTTCTATTGATATTGTTTTGCTTACTGTTTTTTAAGGCTATGCTAATTAAATGAAAGCTTTATTTCACTTTAGTGTACCAGGCTCTCACTTCATAGAAAACACCCGCTCAGCTCTAATTAGCTCATTTAAGTACCCCAAATCCTTCACGGGACTGGTGGCACTTAACTGAGAGATATATGAGGTGAGGGGACTAAATAGGATTTGGAGAACCAACAGAAATTGTGTGAGGACACAGGCAAATCATTTTAAATGAACTCGTGTAAATAGTATAAATGAACTGTGCTTAAACCTTACCCTTCATTTAGGATATAATGGTGGCAAAACAAAGTGAGACTTTAATTCTTTCTCCTTATTAGTTGTTCTTTGTTGTTGAGCTCAGGCCTCAGAATGATAATGTAGCATTTGGGGGCAAAGATGCAGCCCAGTAACCCAGCACTGGAGGTCAAGATGGAGAAGATCTCCACCATCACCATGTATTTCCCTTTGGTGCTCAGATAGGTAGGGACAAAGCACAGCCAAACACTGCAAAACAGCAACATACTGAAAGTAATGAACTTGGCTTCATTGAAACTGTCAGGTAATTTGCGGGCCAGGAATGCTGACAGGAAGCTGAAGAAAGCGAGGAGGCCCAAGTAGCCCAAAACACAGGAAAACATAGTCACAGACCCTTCATTGCATTGCACAGTGATTTCTTCTATTAGTGAGTGCATGTCTAAATCTGGGAATGGAGGAGTAGTGGCCAACCAGAGAGTGCAAAGACTTGCTTGAATGAGGGAGCAGGAAAGGACAATGGAGTTGGCCAGTCTTTTCCCCACCCACTTCCTCAGGCTGGACCCTGGTTTGGTGGCCATGAAAGCTACAACTACAGTGATAGTTTTGGCCAACACACAAGAAACAGCCATGGAGAAGATGATGCCAAAAGCAGGTTGTCTGAGAAAGCAGGTTATTTCTCCTGGTTTGCCAAGGAATAACAAAGAAGACTGAAAGCAGAGCAGTAGAGAGATGAGGAGAGTGTAGGTGAGGTCTCGGTTGTTGGCTTTGACAATTGGGGTGTCTCTGTGCTTCACAAAAGCTAATAACACTAAAGTTGTGACAATGGAGAAAGAAAGAGCTATTGAGGCTAAGCTGATCCCCAGTGGTTCTTCATAAGAAAGAAAGGTGATCGTTTTGGAGATGCATCCATGTTTGTTTCTGTTTGGATATTGGTCTTCTGGGCATCTGAAACAGTCATTCATATCTGGAAGAAAAAAAAGGGTCACATTCCAAATGCAATTCATATACGTCCCCTGCCTCCCATGTGACCGTTTTTGGAGTTTAGCCTGATCATTCTTAATGAACTGGAGTAATATAAAAATTACTTAGTGTTAGTGTTAAAATAAGTCCCCAATCTACGTACATTTAACTCAGGTGCATTTTGCTTCACACACATGGCAAACAAATTTTTAAAAGATAAGGGGGTGGAAAATGAGAAGAAAGTCTGCGGGCATCTGCAAAAAAGAACTTTGGCCATCACACCCACGCTTGAATCCTGTGTCTTTTAACTATACACAATTTGGGCTGTAGGTGTGATTCCATGAATGTAACCCCCGGGTAAGTTGTCAGGTCACAAATAAATGTTTGTGTTAAACTTTTAAAGCACTGTAAGGCTGTTAGTGTGTATGTTGTCCAACTCAGTTCAGTTGATAGGAGACAGGCACTGTACCAGAACTGTAGGTGTTAATCTCCTTCTAGAGTGCCCATATGTGTGCTGTTATCATGTATATATACGCAAAGGTAAGCTTGAACATATAGACTGGCACCTTACCCTCATCAATCTATATACTGATCACCTTCCCCCCATCAATCTATATGAGTATGGGTAAAATATAAAGAATGATTAGAAACAAAGACACCCTGGTGGATTTCACCCTTAGAAGGTAAAAAAGAAAAACATGGAATTAAATTGGGCTACATTTAAGGATCTACTAAAAGAAAAAGATAACAAGCTGATATTAAACGATTGCGAGGAAATAAGACATCATCTAACAGGGTAGATTTAGTATCATCAACTAAATGAGGTGTTCAAGGCTGACAAGAAAAGAGGCTTTGCAAAGGAAATCCCATTACTAGATAAAGAGCTACTACAAAATAAGACAAAAGTAATTTCTAAAATTTATGAAACAAAACTGGAGTGGGAGGTGAAAGATGAACAAGTTAAATAGGTGATGATTAGATGGGCTATAGATATAGGTAAAACTATCAAATTAGCATCACGGGAAAAGCTATGGAGAGAGAGTTGGAAATTTATGGCTTGTGAAGTGATAAAGGAAAATTTAATAGAGATGTTTTATGGATGGTATTTAACACCAACCAAAATATGTAAAATGTATAAAACAAAATCAAATCTGTGTTGGAGGTGTAACAAAGTAGAAGGGACACTCATACGTATGTGGTGGACATGTAATAAAATAAAAGGCTTCTGTGATACGGTATACGAAGAGCTAAAGAAAATAGAATCTTTTTTATTGGGGATATTAGACACAGATATTGCCAGAGAAAATAAGAAAATACCCCTTTACGTTACAGGGGCTGTGAGAACACTAATTGATAAAAATTGGAAAAAAGAAACAATACCGACAAAAAAAGAATGACAAGACAAATTATTTGATTATATGGAATTGGCTAGGTTGACAGAGGCAATTGGGGGCCAGCCCAAACAAAAATATCAAAAGGAATGGCAAAAATGAAAAGATTATCTTAAAAAGCAGTGCCCTCAAATTAATACTTGGACTTGTTTCTAATAATTTCTGCAAAATAATTTATGGTACTTAAAAACCATAGAATAAGGTATAATATAGAAAGAAATAATATAGAAAGAATAAGGAATAATATAAAAACTAAAAAGGGGACAGTTTACCAAAAATTGAGAAGAGAACCATGTTGAGGATGAAGGAAGTCAATTGGAAGAAAAAAAGAGTTGAAATATATATATATATCGTGGACGAGTTGTTTTCTATAAGTTTCCATTGGTTATTATGTTTTATTTGTATCTTTTTGTCTTTTGTTCTGTCGCTGTTTGTTTGTTTTTTGACTGGGCATTATTATTTTTATGTTTAGTTTGATAAGTGTGTTTGTATGGGTTGTAAAATAAACTCCATAAAGATATATATAAAGAGACTGACAAATTTAATAATAAACAAATGAATAAATCCCAGTGCAGCACAGTGAAATTTATTTACCTGGGAACCAATGGTTGACCAGACATACATTCCTGGTACAGCATCACTTCACTAATTCCTATCTGGAACTTTCTGCATCTCCAGTTATAAAATGATAAGCTTTACAGAAGGATATAGCTGAGTAGGCGTAATTATTCTAAAACTTTGAATTTCCCAGACTCAATCAATCCACACCATTTAAAAAACGAACCAAAAAATCCGGCCACCTACATCGCAGTAAAAGGAGGTACACATTCTTGACTCAAATTTTCCATGTGCTGTATCAGAGGGGAACTATCTTTCCTCCCTAACATGCCATCGGTTGAACTGTAACTGCATCTACTAATGATATTCACACTTTGTCCCTCCCCCCCAAAAAAAACCCCCAGAATTTCGTTAACATTTTCATGGTCATCATCATAAGCATCATGAGCGTTGTTGACATATGTCTGCTGACTTTGTAATAGTTTTGTTTTGGCCATATTCATATTCTTCTGTTTAAGATATTTTAAAATAGGTGTGCAACTAGATTGGTTTGACTATTTTAAGACTTACAAACAAATCGATGTATAATGTATAATCCCAGCATGAGACTCATTCATTTTTATAAATGTGAAATTGGTGGAACTTACATTTCGAACCACGCACAGTTTGAACTATGTGTGTTTGCTTAAAAGTAAATCTCAGTGGGTCAGCATAGGCAGCTAAGATATTATAAAATAGGTCTGCAACTAGATCATTTTAACTATTTTAAAGCTTACACTCAAAACAATGCAGAATGTATTGCTTGAAACTCATTCATTTTTCAAAATGTCCTTAGGAAGATAATGCAAGTCCACAAAGAAACATTCCAAACAGCATGTAATCAAAGATTAATAAGTATATCTTAGGGCACAAAGAAGTTCTCTTATGAAAATAAAAATGAATTCTTTGTCACACACCATTCTGGTCTGAAATTTTCCCTTCTGGACATGGAGCACAATCATAGCAGCAAAATTTTTCCCCTTCCTTCCTTTTCTTCTGATGACCAGGGGAGCAGTAGTCGTTACACACAGAAATAGGCACCACCTACCCACAACCAAGAAAGAATTATTTTTTAAATTGCAAATTATTTAATTTCCTTGTTTTATTTTTGCTTGTGAACTTGAAATCAACACATCCCAGGAACTTTAAATATAATCTTAGAGGCCTAATCATTGATTTATATGGCTCTTTATTATTACAGGCCAGGGATATTTTCAATTCCTACTTGGAAATGCAGAGGATTGAACCTGAGGGCTTTGCATATCAAGCGTTTTGATATACAAATGAGCTTTGGATTCTGTTCAATGGAATAGAGAGAGAGAGCAGGGCCCACAGTAATACCCCTGGATCCATACCTGGTTAAAACCCTTGTGCCATGTTATCATGTCCTCCTGAATGATAATTTTTCTTGATTCAAGAGCATCGTCATCCACCTGTCCAACTTTCACTCGAAGGAAGGACTTGTTGGGGAATGTAACTATGTTCGTGATGTCAAATGCACCCCCCATTTGCTTATTCCCATTGAAGCTCATGGTTTCTCCGACAGAGTTGTTGAACGTAATCTCAGGAAGATAAGAGTGGAGCTAATTGAATCATAACAACAAGCCATAAATGGGTTAAAATTGATATATGATCAAAACATAAGGCAGTGATTTAGAAAGTCCCTCGTTTTCAAATATGGTTTAGGTATTATAAAGTAATCTAAACAATAGGAAACCAACATAATTCATACCTATTTAAGTTTAACGAATATAAATACCGCAAAACTGCTTTACAACAAAATTTGACTTATACCACCATTTCCCCCCAGTGTAGGTTCTGCCGGGTTTGTGGGTCATGTGAATGAACTGAAAGGGTTTTTCAGTGGGGATAATTCTGACCCTGTCTTGCACCACCTCAGCAAGACCCCTCTTTTATAACCTATCATACCCTTGGCTCAGCCAGCTAAGGCAAAGATAACATGGGATGGAGAGAATACAGCATTGTATCTGCCCTTATCCCAGCAGATATTGGGTTTGGATTGCTCCCTATGTGTGGGAAATTAGCTCTTGTTCCCTAAACAGATGGCAATTTCAAGCAAAATGTACATGAGATGATGTGAACATACACAACATACATCTCTGCATTGCAGGGAGTGGACTGAACCTTGGGATCCCTTCCAACTGTACTATTCTATGATTCTAAGTTTGTCAATGAATAAGATGAATAATCCCATTTCATCAGATACTTGTGGAGGATAAATTGGATGCAGCCCCACCTTAGACTATTCAATACATTGGATAAAGAAGATTTTGATTTCAACACATTACCTCCAAAGACTGCTGGTCTTGAAGTTCAAATTTCTTATCCCGGACCATTGCTTTCTGCTTCAATCTGCTTGAGTACATGGCATGCAAAGCATGAGCCACAACATAGACAGCATTGTAGATACTGTAGCTGTGGCCAGTCATGCCTATCTCAAACTGAGGGGCAGGAAGGCTCTCCAGCCTCTCTTCCCCAGTACATGGTTCATTGCCTTCCACTGGCACACTGGAGTTTGGGAATGTACAGTCAAATGCTTCCTCCCAGAACTCTTGCAGAAAACCATCTCCTTCTGTTTTATCAGGTTTTAAATTCCGAAGAAATTCATTGAATTTTAGAACCTCTTTTGAGTGAATTGTGAAAGAAATTGCACCTTGAAAGAGCTCAAGATCCTTTAATATGAAATCAATCTGGGTTGTTATGATCCATACCTTCCTAAATGATGAACCTTCCTTATTTTCAAAATCTCGTAGAAATATAATACCTCTCATCCATATAATGGTCAACGATTCTCCAAAGAGTATACATGCACTGACTTTATCATCTGTTAAAGACAAATTAAAATCCGAGAACAAACCAAATGTATCACTCAGGTTATCTATATGACCTATTCGTGGTACTTTTTGGATGAAGGCTGAACAGATTCCATGCTCGGAAAGCAATGGTTCCAGGGTCTGCAAGAATTTTTCTCCACCATGACCCTCTGCAACAAAAAGTCCAACCCATGTCCATCCAAAATGGTTTAGTAAGTTGATGATCCCCATATACTGTTGGCTGTCATTGGGTACCATGTTGTAAAAAGAAAGGAACTGATCTGCATCACTCTCCTCAGGAGGAAAAGATCCATATGTGAGCTAAAAAGAAATGGACAGAAATGATAGATTTATGTCAGGATAAAACTTAATTTTGAGTATGTGCCTTTTCATTCAACAAAGATAAGGGTTTAGGACAGTTCAATCCGAGGACTTTTCAAGCTTAATGTTCTATAGTTATTGTGAATTATTATTGTTGTTCTTTTATTATTATTATTATTATTTTCTGATAATTTTCCTTCATTCTGCCTATGATTTCTGGGAATCTAGCATAGCTTGTAAGTATAGCTTCATTACTACTGCTACTACTACTACTACTACTACTATTAAAATGAATATTCTAAATGGAACCCCATCCAGTAATCTGGCTGCAATATTGATGTTTCATAGTTTTCTTCCTAGGAAGCCTCAGTGACAGCCTTATTGGCAAAGGAAGAATGTAAATTATGAAAATCCACATACCTCCCCCATTCATAGTTCCTACCTGTGGAATTTTGTAGAGGCCTATAGTATCGGCAATAAAGAAGGAGGTAACAGAGCTAAGGCCCCCAATGATGGCTATGAGGTTTTTTTGAGTGTCACATATATAGTTGGGGACAAATCTACGTGATTTGAAAAGTAGGTCCAGAGTAGTCCGGTAGGTCATCCTTGCATCATAATAACTATCATAGATGTGGAATCCAAGGGTGAGATTAGGCAAGATCTTTTGATTCTTGTTGATTTCTTTTACAGCAAATGCCAAGGCCAGGGTATGCTGATAGAATTTTGTCACCATGCTGCAAATAAAGTTATATTTTCAAAATTTCCAGTGGAAATTGGGGATTTCTTCACTGAGTCTGCCATTGTAAGTCTCAGAATGCAAGCGCTTAAGTGGCTTACTTCCACTAACTTGATTTAAATTAGATTTTTTAAAAAAACAAAGGAAAGAAAAGAAAGGACACTGTAACAGAAACCATGAAGTATCTACTGCAAACTGCCAGGACAGAAAGGAGAGCTTCAGCTGTGATAGAAGTTGAAAAGGTAAAGGTAAAGGTACCCCTGACCATTAGGTCCAGTCGTGACCGACTCTGGGGTTGTGCGCTCATCTCACTCTACAGGCCAAGGGAGCCGGCGTTTGTCCGCAGACAGCTTTCAGGTCATGTGGCCAGCATGGCTAAGCTGCTTCTGGTGAACCAGAGCAGTGCACGAAAATGCCGTTTACCTTCCCGCCAGAGCGGTACCTATTTATCTACTTGCACTTTTGACGTGCTTTCAAACTGCTAGGTTGGCAGGAGCAGGGACCGAGCAACGGGAACTCACCCCGTCGCGGGGATTCGAACCACTGACCTTCTGATCGGCAAGTCCTAGGCTCTGTGGTTTAACCCACAGTGCCACCCGCGTCCCAATTTAAATGAGACTCTAACATCATTGAAAACGATCCTGGGGACTAACACCAGTGCCCTGCCTCAGCTTTCTATAAATGTACAGGAGTTAACAAAAATAACAGTCTCTGTTGAGGAGACAGTCAAACAATTGGATTCTTCCATATTAAGTCAGCATATGCCAAAGCAAATAAAGGATATTGTTTGATACTGTTAACGTTAACAGCTATAAAGGATAGAGTTTTACAAACTCACTTTACAAACAACCTACACTTTGAAGGACACAGGATTACAATTCTGAAATAAATTCCATGAAGGATTTTTTAAGAAAGAGAAGGATTATTATGTCCGGCAACTGCTCTCAAAAATAAAGGATTGGTCTGTTAATCAGTCACTGTCAATATATATAATGTTATAGAATCTCCATACATGTGATTTTTTTAGTTGATTTAAATGCAGAAAATAACTTTTTCTTCCCACTTAAATCGTGTACAATACATTATCACACTTCAGCAAATCATTTTCAACACATTCCTAGAATCAAGAGATGTGCCCAGCAGTGCTCAGAAATGCCCCCAGCTCTGAACACTAGTTCCGAAGAACCAGCTTTGATTGAGTATACACAATTTAAATCTGCAATTATTTCTCTGAGTTCTGCTTAAAACCTAATGTGAGAATAATTGAATGACTGACTGACTGAATGAATACAATTGTCTTTGGAATATCCAGAAGGAATATCATTTACCTACATAGTCAAGAGGCACTGGTGTACTGAATTGCCTGAATCACAAGAATTCTGAAGAAAGTACAAAAAGGAGCTTGACACAGCTGCCCTGGAAGCATTGGCTGAGGAACTGTAAAATTTGGTGGCCTTGGATATAAAATCTGACAAGGTTGACCCTTGTCTCTGTTACTGTTAATATTGGTGTTAAAAGTTTAGAAAGATAAGGGAAAGTGATGAGATACAAGGTATCAAAGTGGGACAGCAAACCTATAAATTAAAGCATTTTCAGATGATGTAGTTTTTGTTTGCAGAATACCCCTTGGTGACTGTCTCCTTGTCCATTCCTCTGTTGCTTTACAGAATAGAAAGATTTTTAGTATGGGAAAACGAAAGTCTGTTTAATGTCTGTCTGCTTAGAAGACTCAGACAGTGACTGAGAATGAGAAGCACTCATGGTTGGCCCTATTGGCCCTATTTTAGGCAGAAAGGATCACCAAAGCAGTTTATATACATCAGTCAGTGGTCAAAACTCACTACTTTAAGACTTAAAATCAGTAAGATATGATACGGAAGGAAAGGGGATTTGAAGGGATATGTGGGGAGACACTTACTATGGAAGTTTGAACATATTCTGTGAAGGCTCTTCTTTGAAGAAAACTTCATCAAATACATAAAAGATTTGAGAAGAAATCCCACCGATGATGAGGTCACCTGGCTGGTACCACTCATGGGGAACAGGAACAGGATAACTGGTGGGACACCTGGTAGTATTTGCTTTGTAGACAAAAGCAACTTGCAAAAGCAGCAACAGAAATCGATCAAGCATCCTTGCAGCACAGCTTATTTCCTCTTCCTACAAGCCTCTTAAGAAGTGGATACTGGAAAACCACCTGAGTTTTGATTAGTGGAACAAATTATAATAATTTGGATAATTGCATGGAGAGATAATAACCTTTTCAGAGTTTTAACTCATAGTGACACTTTTTAAAAATCATCATAATCATAATGACTCCATGTTACTTCTGCCCCTGAGTGGCCCACAAAGTGGCAATTGGCATGAAATCTTCTGTGGTAAGTGAAAATCAGTCAAAAAAATAAGAGTGAAGCCATTTGTGGATGCAATACATCAAATCTTGCCACAAACAGCACTTCTGAAACTCTAGTTTAATGAAAGCACTGGGAAAGCAACATTTCTCTACACAATAAATCTGTGGCAAACCCCCCCCCCCCAACACACACACCAAAAGAACACAAACACAGATTCATCATCAAAGAGGAAAATTAATCAATTGATTCATTTTTCTTAACCCCCCCCCCCGTTTTTTATGTTAACATTATTGCCATACACTCAAAAAAATTTCCGTATGTACAATACTGGGATTATACAACTCCCTTGGACTTGCCCCCGTACCACCCTGGTTTTCATATTTTATACTCTTTTCTTGCATATAATTATAATTATCCATTCTATTTCATCTCCTCATTAACTAATCAAATTCATTTTACTTCATAAATGGTATATCAATCCTGCTAATGTTTCCAAATAGCTACAGTGGATTTTAAGGTACTCAACAAAATTGTCCCATTCTTGTTTTAAAATTTCATCATCTTGATGTCTGATCTTCACAGTCATCTTTGTCATTTCAGCATAATCCATCATTTTAGTAATCCACTCTTATTTTTGTTGAGACCTTCTCTTCCTTCCACATGCTTCCTGTCTCTTCTGCAACAATCTCTATAATGTAGCAACCATAGTTTTATGTATTTCCTTCTCCATTTTCATTCAGCCCTTGGAAAGGAGTTTTTAACATTTATAATACAATGATGATAGAAGCGTACAATTATTTTCATTATTGATTCATGAGATGAAAAGCAGAAAAATTCAAATGATACGGTGAAAAGTAGAGCTAAGTTTCTAATAGAGGGCAGCACCCCATAAGATTACCATAAAGCTTGCAGATCTTGAAATCCAAAACTTTCATCCCCCTCAATTGCTCTGTGCTTTGATCTGGACTAGTAAATGAGATGCAAAGCATGTGCCGCAACATAGACAGCCTTGTAGATATTCTATCTGTGGCCAGTCATGAGCAGTTCAAACTGAGGTCCAGTAAGGCTTTCCAGCCTCTTCTCTCCAGTACACACTTTATTGTTTTGCAATATGAAAATGAAACATGTTAAATATGAATTACTAAAGAAAATACTACAAAGAGAGAGAAGGAGTAACAGGAATGCAAGAAGAAGAAAGAGAAAAATAAGGAAAAAGAAAATAATAATAATAATAATAATAATAATAATAATAATTAAAAAAAATTTAAAAAAATAGCCAAGACTGGTCTCAGGGTAGCTAACAACTAATAATTAAAACAAGTTGATTAAAATACAATTTTAAAAAGATTAAAATACAACATTAAAACATTAGGATGTAGCCTCTTAACAGGAAGAGATAGAAAAAAGAAAGAGGGGGAGGGAATTAAACTGATTCTAAGCCAAAGGCCAGGTGGAACAACTCTGTCTTACAGGCCCTGCAGAAAGAAATCAGATCCCGCAGTACCCTGGTCTCATGAGCGTTTCACCAGGCCGGATCCTAATATTGCCCAGGCAACATTATATTAATCACAGATATTTAATTATATTAATCACATATATTTAATTAAAGTCATCTACTAGTCTCTCCAGAAAGTTTCTGGTGCTCTTCCCATTTCCCCTCTGCTGCTGCACCAATTGTCTGCATCACATAACTGTCACTAGAAGAAATATTTTACTTCTAATTCAGGGATTCAAGATACAATTTGCATGAGAGAGTTCCCAGTTTAATGGTCTTCTTAATTAAATCACCCAAAGCAGATTCATGCATCTTAACATAGGCATTGGATGACAGCTGTAACATATACTTCCTTTCCTTCTGGCAACGTAAGTCTTGGGGAAATTAGCAAATCACATGTGATGGATCTCTGTAATATGTGGGTCTCAGTAAGGGAAATAAACTGCACTGATCCCCCTTCTAGCATTGTAGAGAAGCAGAAATTAGACACAACCACAGCCATACCCAACCTTTGCCTCATTACACATTTGTCCCTTGTAGACCAACCCTTCATTGTCATTGAAAGGCCTAACTCCCTTCCAATTGGTCACCTGTTTCTAATGGATTTAAATTATATTTTGGTGTTGGTCTTTGTATTTACCGTATTTTTCGCCCTATAGGACGCACTTTTCCCCCTCCAAAAATGAAGGGGAAATGTGTGTGCGTCCTATGGGGCGAATGCAGGCTTTCGCTGAAGCCTGGAGAGCGAAGGGGGTCAGTGCGCACCGACCCCTCTTGCTCTCCAGGCTTCACGAAGCTATCCGCTAGCCGTGGGAGACGCAGCTATCCCACGGCTAGCAGAGAGCTTGCCTGCACCCAGAAGCTTGGGGTGCACTGAGCTCAGCACGCCCCAAGTTTCGGGCTTCGGGCTTCGCACAGCTGTCCGCTAGCCGTGGGAGAGCTGTGAGACTTCCCGCAGCTCTCCCACGGCTTGTGGATAGCAGCCTGTTCTGGGGCTGCAGTCGGGGGAAGCTCGGGGTTCCCCCACACCTGGGGGAAAAATTATTTCCCCCCCTTTATTCCCCCCCCCAAAAAAACTAGGTGCATCCTATGGGCTGGTGCGTCCTATGGGGCGAAAAATACGGTAGTTACATATTATTTTTAATTTTTTTTGCAAAAACCTCTTTGAATTGTGCTCGCACTTCTTTTCGAAATGCATTTCATTTCATTTTTCTCATTTCAACAAGACTATCTTTTTTCTGAAGGAAGCTTTCTTGT